TAATAAGAATGCTTTAGCTCGACTCGATGCATGACATGGCTCGGCTACGGCTCAAAATGTTAACAAATAAATTTTAAATATAATGGTACTATTTTTAATCTAAATGGACAATTGTGGTCTTAGCGTACATTCTAATATTGGTAATTAAACTATAGGCGGTATTTCTGTAAATAAAAAGTCGAACAACTCATCAAGCTTACAAGCCTCTTGAAATGATGCTACTCGTTTGCTTAATTGAACTTCTCAAGCTCGAGTTTGACCAAACTCGAATCGAGCATTGACTCGTGAGCCTTTTGACTCGTTTGGAGTCCTAGCCCAATCCATTGACCCTTAGCCCTAGGCTGGGACAGCCTAAGTTACCTAACTAGCCTAGCACAATTTGCATGGTACCTAACTAGCCTAATCCCGATCATAAATACGTGTATTATCAGTATAAATTATCCAACATTTTTATCCCAATCATAAATACGTGTATTATCTGTATTAATTATCCGACATTTTTTCCTCACATATTCAGGTACGAGGAACAAAATAGTGATTCATGTACCTGGAGAGATGGCATTTTTTACCGACCTAAAAACACTATTGACCATTTAAATTAAAACAGAAATATTGAGCCCAAATAAATTTCTAATTTGGGCTACCTTGTGGTGATCCCTTTCTCTAAGTGGTCCGCTTGATGAATATATATTTTGTACGTTATATGTTTGTATATATAATACTAGTACAACGCTCGTGTATTACATGGGTGCTTGCTAATTTTTTTCTTAAAATCTAAAATTAATGAGAAAAAATAGTTGAAAATTTAAATAACTTTTATAAAAGTATATATATTATTATATATTTAGTACGACACTTTTTATTTGTGCGACTTACATGTGTTATATTATAATAATTTTTTAACTTACAACATATGACTACATTAAACATAATATATGAATTGAAAAATAATTTTATTTTTCTAATGAATTTTAATAAATATTATTTTTTTTATTATTATAAAAATAAATATAATTTATTTATTTCATATATACAATATGGATGTCAAATCGAAGATCATCAAAAGATGATTAATTTGATATATTATATATGCAAAACCGATAAGAAATACAAAAGTTATCAACTTTTAAAATACATTTACAATTCAATAGTTAATTGAATGAAACAAATCAAAAGTCAAAGATATATTAGTCACTTAGTGCCTCACTATGTAAAATTATAAAGAATTAAAGGGTTATATTAGTACAAATGATATTAAAATACCTAAATTAGCTAAATAATATTTATGGAATGTCTGAACTTAGATTATTAATTATTAATATATCAATATTATTTGTCCAAACCTAATTACGAAGAATGATTCTTTGCCAAGTAGGATTTCGAAGCACCAGAAACAGCCACATAGGTTCAGCGCATTCGAGAATTATATATAGGCGGATTTAAAATCATAAATTAGATACCGAACATATCATATTTTATAAATTGTGTTATAAGTAAAAATGAACAATGTAAACATTAGTTATTTAACTTTTCTATGAATCACTACATTGATTGCAATAATGTACCATTTGCAATTTTTAGTGATCATGATCATTTAATAAGCTAAAAAAATATTGAAATTGTGTATATAATTTTAAGTGGTTTGATTATGCCACAAAAGAATAATTAATTTTAATAAAAAGGTTCTTATGAGCTGAAAAATAATAATAATATATAATAGTTTAAAATAAATAGTTTTAAACATTTGCAATAGAACGTTTGTATGAATACAGTTTCCATATAGTTGACTTTATGATTAGTTCGCATTAGATATTTTGTGATAAAATAAAAAAATAAACATAATTATCTGATCAGTATAAAATATAACGAGTTTTTTCCAAATTTAGCTTAATATGAACAGTAAATAATTTATTTTTTCCATTAAATTCTTTTTTTTTTTTCAACGATAAAAGTATTATAAATCAAAAGGCACAAATATGCAAATACACAGCAGCCAACGACTGAAAACACAGCAGCCAACAGCTGAAAAAAGAGGAAGGATAGATCAAAAAACCGCCTAGATACATTAAATTCTTTGCAATTAACTATATATATATATATTACATTTTATATATGACAAAGATAAAATATTATGATGACTTTGGTGTATGAAAGTTATATAAATTAAATAATTTTAATTTTATTAACAAAGATTTAAATTTTTAAAATTAATTATCTAATTAAATAATTGGCTTTATGACCATCAATTTAATTGATCATCCAATAACTTGAATTCCATCAGTGTTATTGAATGCCATCATGAGTCATATATTGAGTTGAGTCAGAGTCGAGTTTAAAAACATTGTTGGACTCCATTTCCTCATTCGTTCTTTTATAGATGAAGTTCTAATTTAGACGAGTTAAAAACACAATTGGACTCCATTTCCTCATTCGTTCTCTTAAAGATGTCGTTCTAATTTAAAAGAGTATTACTATTTTGATGGACTAAAATTTAAAATAAATCTCCATTAACCAAATATTTAGTTATTTTATCTGATTATATTATTATTATTATTTTTTTCTCTCCTTCTCTCTAATAATAATTTAATTTTTTTATCATGTCTCTCTCTTTCATCTAAAAAATACGTCAAAATTATAATGTTACCAAAATAGAGAGAAAAGTTGATAGAATACATAAACTCTACACAATAAATATTTTTTTTTTAAAAAAAAAAAATCATATAGCCCAAAATATTACATTAATGTACTACTAATTTAAAAATCAATGCACTGCACTCCAAAAGCTGAAAAGCAAATCCTACATGATTTATTAAGCTCTAAGACCAATGTAAAAATATTATATTTCATTGTTTTAGGTCAATTTATTTTCAAAGCCCAAGACGGAGACTCCGAGTGTTGTGCCTACCGATTAGGCAATGGCATCAAGAAAGATTTGGGTCACATATAATCAACAACTAGTACGTACCTCGTGCGATGCACGAAACATAGATATTAAATGAGTTATTTTAACAGCCTTGTCCGTTTAAATCTTAAAAGTAATAGTGTTATTATCTATTTTCTATCTCTTTTAATCAACGTTAAGTCTAAAAAATAATAAGGTTATATGTTTTTTTTTTCATATCTTTTAACCAGCATTGTTTTTTAGCCAGAACTTAAATATGAGTATATATTTCCTGCCGTTTCGACAAAAAAAAAAAAGAGTATATTAGGGCTAGCTTGTAAAATAATTAATATATTATCTCACTAAAATATTTATACTAATAGAACTTTAATTTCAGTATATAAATTTATCCCTTGATATAAGAAAAAAGTAACAGTTTTATTTATTCTTGTTCATCATATAATATTTAATTATTATTTTATTATATAATAAAAAATAAAGTGTTAAATAGTTTTTTTTAACACAAAGATAATATTAAAAAAAATATAAATATCCATACAAATATACGAACCAAGTTTTTTTAATAGTTTTTTCTATGTTTTATAAAAATATATTATAATTTGTTAGTGTATTATTCAAAATCGTAATATTGATTTGTAGTTTTTAGAAACAGAATTTTGATTGTTTTTGCTCACCCCATTTTATGGGATTTTTTTATGTGAAGATAAGAAAGATTAAAAACAATATGTAAAATAGGAAACTTGATTAAAATTATAAATGCATTAATTACTACTTGATAAAATTAGAAGTTCATTAATTAAAGTTGACTTTTCTACCTACTATATTTAGTAAATAGGTTTCCTTTTAATATAAGTATAGATATCATAATATTGCTTTCTAATTGTTTTAATTTTTAATATTTCACATTTATAAAAGTGCAACTATATATTTATATTTTTCACAACCATTACCCTAAAACATTAGATAATGATGAGTTTTTTTTGATAATTTTGTTTGCTTAATAGCGTAGAGCGAAAATAATACTATAAAACAGCATGGAAAACATTGAATATATTATCATATCATAATAAATAAATGAAAACAAGCGCAAAAAACGTGTCACATCAGTATCTACTATGTATCTTATATATATTTAAGCAAAAAAACACAACTTTATTATACA